TAGGTTGAGTAGGAAAATATTGCGATATAGAGACATTAAGGGGTGTATAAGACGAAGAAATGGGTAGTTAATTCATTCCAATCTGCAGATGTGGTTAATGATTTGTTTAGATTTAATTTGAGAGGAAACTTTTATTAAATTATTTATTGGAATTACAAAGTGCCCATATGGCTGGACTACAACAACATTTTGGGATTATTGTGAATTCATTCAAAGAGGTTTCAGACCATGTTATTGTGATACATCAGGACTATTGTTACTTCAGCAGATTCCGGATATTAGTACATCAGCCATTTTGGATCTGGAATTCATTCTACACACTATTCTTTTAGACTTGAGATAGAACCTTTATGATTATTGTGGATTTAATTCATAATAAAGTACGTGCCACTTAAATATTCATTTTATTATTTGCAAAATTAAATTATTAGTTATTTCACAAGACTAGTTAGTTTTGCTTCTTTCTGTTATTTAGTTTAAGACCACAGAGACGTAACAAAACATACATACATACATACATACATACATACATACATACATACATACATACATACATACATACATACATACATACATACATACATGCATGCATGCATGCATGCATGCATGCATGCATGCATGCATACATACATACATACATACATACATACATACATACATACATACATACATACATACATACATACATACATACATACATACATACATACATACATACATACATACATACATACATACATACATACATACATACATACATACGAATTTTCTCGATTTATAATTTATTTAAAATTTAATTATGCGACATTTAATGCAAATACTAAATTGCTTTACACTCAGTTCTGAATATCATTTTCAAGAATTTGGTTATGTTCTTAGGTATTTATTCAGCACGAATTCAGTTAAGTGGGTATTTTCAAATCCCCAAGGAAAATCTTATAGATATTATGTTACAAAGAGGTCTAACAATTTTACAAACTCCATGGAAACATTTCCAACATATATATTGAACTGTGCTAAAATCGTGGAATTTCCTAATGAATCCTCAAATACCGCCTTTTAGAAAACATATTCAAGAATTGTACCCCAAAATGAGTTAGAGGCAAAAAAAAAACCCAACAAAAAACAACAACAAAAAAAACCCCACAAAAAAACAACAACCATTATTGCACATCTGCACTAACCAGAAATCAAGACTACGCTGTTAAATTCATAAAAGCAACGTGGGAGAAGAAGTGATAACAAAAAACTCATATGTTTTTTTTTAGACAATTTGGAAATTAAATTTTCCCAAAATTTGACAGAAGAAAAGAAATGCACCTTACTGCTCATCTAGTTGAACCAAACATCTTGCCTACATACCTGTTTTTTTTTAAATGATCCAAATGCCATAGTCCGGCTCGTGTGGCTACAAGAATATCCCCACTTTACCCTGAAGTGTGGAGATAATAATAAAGCACTAGATCTGAAACAGAAAGAATTATCAGTACCCATTTTTTACCTGATGAATAGGATTTAGGTGCAGACAGTTGGCCTGAATTGACAGCTACGCCCAACATAGACTTATAAAGGTCATCTCAGCACTTCAATTTTTTTCTGTCTCCACTTTCAGGCTCCGTACTTAAATGAAAACGGCCCCTTCAGCTTGTCTGGACAATAGAGTTTATCATGTGGCTCTATTAACAGTGGCTCAGAGTAAATGGCGGAAATGAACCTTAATTCATGATAAGGCGTCGTAAAAGCTCTCTAATGTTGCATATTAAAGAACAGAATCAAGGGTATGTCAACAAAAAAGGTTTGAAGGCACTTGGTAATACGGCAAAATTGTTATTAGAGAGTGTCTAGAATAAAGAATGAGACCAGACAAATACAGCTAAGTGAATTACAAAACCAAACAGTACATGTGTTTCTTAAAAGAATGCTTGATTCTTTGGATACATAAATTATACAGCACCACTTTTAGATTGTAGAAATTCGTTCCAGTTTGGATTCAACAGGCAAAAAAAAAAGCAAGAATCTTTCAATTTTATTAAACGTTCAGTGCAATACGTATCGTAAACATTTTCCCGCATTAATTCTTCTAACTGTAACAACATCTTACGTGTATGTGTTATTTCCATTAGCCATTTTGTTATTTTATTTGAAATCGACATTGGCAATTTTCTTTTGTAATTGACGGTTACGTAAAGAGTGGTTTACAGTTAAATTATGGTAGTTTCTTTAAGATCGAGTTTTTGATCATGTTTTTTGTTGTTGTTGCAAATATTGAGTTACTATTCGTATGTATACTATAGTGATCTCATTCCTTTCAATAATAACTATAACAACCATAAATACACACTTTTTACATGAAGATTTGATGTTTATTTGCTTCACAATGGTTACTTTTCGTGAATATATATTTGTCAACAGCTTTATTTTGTTTAATATATTTATGCTGTAAAACACAATTACAAAAGCAAAGAGCAATAAAATGAATGCTCCAAAAAGTAATGGACAATTTTAGAAAAACATCAACTTACGTTAAAGTACATAAGTAAATGTAGATGTTGCGTAGTTTTTGTGCATGCTTCTCATAGTAGCCTATACTTTTTGGCTAATGTGTCAGAAATACAGATAGTCGGTATTTAAGTACTGTATACCAAACACTTATTTTGCAGGCTATGATAAATCGTGTAGCATCTGTTTTAAGAAGTAAGCCATTAGAAGAGCAATTATTCATTGTAGCAAAATCAAAGACAAATGTATATCTTTTCTTTGCAAAACAGATTTGGACGTTTCAATAGCTATTTATATTTGTTTTCTATAGCAGGAAAGAGTTTAATGAATTTTAAATCCAGAAATATGTCAGGGTTTTCATTGACATAGACTGGAGGTTTATATACACATTGATAAATGAATAAAATTTATATGGATTTATCTGATGAAAACGTCCCGTATAATAACCTAATGATATCGTACCGTATTATTTTCAGTCTGTACGGAAATGTGTATTATTGGACACTTAACAAGGATATGTTTATATTGCACAAGAGTTATCGCTATTTCAGTGTTTGACTTATGAAAATGAGCCACAATAAAATGTTACAACTGTAGAATAAAGACGGTGTCTTGTGATAAATTAGTCATTGGATTTTCTTTAGCTTTGATTTTTGTTACAGTTGAACTTGCTGTCCATTGTTTTACTGAGTTACCCCCCCCCAAAAAACAACACCCCCCAAGAACTTCCAATTCGTAGTGTCATTTCTCACAATTTGTCTTAAATGTATTATTATGAATAATGTGGTGTAACATTCACTATATAACATGAACAAAGAACAATATCTCTATATGTTTGAATAAGCTTTATATGAAAAGAAACCGCTGTCGTTTTGTTAATTTAGTTTTATGATTAATTACCGACCAACGTGATGCAATGGTTTAAGCAGGCGCAAGACCTATTATACTTCTTTCCTTGGCATTATGCCTTTGTAGCTGGCACGTTATACTGATGGCATACAGCTGAGGTATTTTTATTCGTCCTCGAAAGCTTTTTTCATCTCTACTTTGGCGCATCAAGACGGAATAAAGACTTCATAAATGTGTTTAAACTGATCCCATTATTCAAAATCAAACGATCTCAAAGTTATTGTTATCTCTTATGGCTAATTCCGTTCTATTTCAGTTCTATTATTAACTACAAAAGAATGTTTTTTTTTTCAAAGTGACAAACACAAGTTATTGCTGCGTTGTGCTAACCCTTTGGCGCGATGAAAGCTTTATATATCAAATGATTTTGTTCAACCATAAAGTTATAGTCTTCTAAAGTTAAAAAGTTTCAAAATATTAATTATAATGCCAATTTTTAATGAAGTAATAGGGAAACGAAGATGCCAAATGTTTACTTGAGATATTATGACATGCTCTTACGTGTATATGACTTTTCTAACTTTTCTTCTTTTCTTAATATCTTTTGAGGTACGTTTTTCGTTAATCATTGTATGCCTATTTATATGTGTTTGTTTCCATATAAATAAATCAATCAATCAAACAGTCTATTTATCTATTGATCAATCTATCTACCTACCATTCTTCTTTCAATGCTGTGTAATATTACTTCTCTATTAATAACCCGTTGGCATATATGTGTGCAAAAATACAAATTGAAGGTAAATTAAATGGTGACAATGCAACGGAGAATCTGTATTATTGAGGTGTCTCAGAGAAAAATTACCAAAGCATCTAAATACACAAGGAGAGCAAGGAAATCAAATGGACTTCAAAAGACCTGATTCCTTTTAACTAAAAGAAAAGCAATAAACGAAATAGAAGGTACTGATACTTTTATTTAGGGAATGAGGAAACTCTCAATTTAAAAGAGAAATTAACTCTTTTAGAAGAATTGAGAATAAAATGAACAGTCATAAAATTTATCTGACACGGAGCTACATTTACTCAGCTGGTAAAGCGTTAAATTCGTAATCAACGTGTCCCGCAATCGGCTCCCTCCCGGGACTACCTGATTCGGCTGCCTCGATGTGTACATGTGAACGACATTTATGATGTAGCCAATAATGTGTTGAAAGTGCCGTTGCAACCAACAAGGCAAAATAAAACAAAATGCCGACCCAACCCTGCTCTCCCTCTCCCCCTTTGATAATCTCTATACATTAAATCGGTATGTCTATTTTCCTAAGTAAAAGAAATTAGATTTATGGATTAACTAACGAAAATATTTGACGGGAAGAAAGAAAAGCTTTTTTTTTTGATCCAATAGACAATATTAGCAAGTCTACTTTACCAGCAATGATTAGTTTTGGAATACTAAAACATGTTGCCTATTATATGGACTGGTCACGTAGCGGAAAAGCACCAACGCCTGCAAAGCACAACGGAATAAGTACTTATAAGATGACACGGAAAAATTGGCAAACAAATTTAAAAGTGTTCGTCTTTATTCTTTCTATTTGTTTAAGTTCTAAGGAGGAATAATTGGTTTTAAACTTCAAATGATTCGTCAC